CATACTTATTCATTGTTAAATGTACACATACTTACTAATTTCTTCATAACACACATCAATATCAAAACTTACTTTTTCCTTATAAAGGGACTCACTATTGTAACAACCCAAAAATCTAGTAAAGCAACGAATAATATAAATAACCATACCAGCACTCAATGATTACGAATTAATAGGTTTCTCAATTATATCTCAATAATTTGCAGCTAGATAAGTAGATTCTCACAGTTGAGATTCATTACAAAGTCAGGGATAAATTTAAACGTGAAATCTAAGCTTCCAATGCAAAAACATTACAACTTGCCCTTCTTTTTGATGAAATCTCCACATGCAACTGCTCTTCGATCTCCCAGTGAGTTGGACGAGATCCAAAAACTGATGCATGGGACTAACCTGATGCAATAGTTCAGTTAGAGCAAAGCTTAGTCCCATGGTATCCTACTCCCACTGTGCAAGTCTGACCTGCACTACCTTATGAACTCATACAATTCAACATGAATGAATACTAGTAATTTAAGCAGGATATAAAAACCAAGGTTACGATTATTTTAAATACTACTCAGGATGCTCAATCATAGTTCACATATTTGCAAAGAGGGTACGAGAAGTCACCCGTCGGTCGCCACCCTACTATGAGTTCTAACGATTAAAATGCTCAAATCGAAAACCTGAAATAGTTGAACTAGAAAAGGTGTTAAGCCATCTTAATTATTTAAATAAACATCTTTCACAAACCTTAAGGTAACCCTCTACAACAATGCTCCAACCTGTCCCGAATCGAGAAACGGAACAAACAAGAACGAATTGAAATAGTAGCTATCGCGACTTGCACCGTGACCGAAGTCAATTGATCCTTCTGAAAATGCCGGTTTGAATCAAAAACTCAAATTCAACATTCCATGCATACGAATCCATGATCAATCCAGTGTAATATCAACTCAATTGATCCTTCCAAAATATTTCTAACTCATTTTAATCAAGGTTTTAAAAAACGTGAGGCATGGTGTGTCGGCTAGGCCAAGTCTCAATCCTTAGAAGTCATGGCGAGGTCACGACGTTTTTCAAGGCGCGACTTATGGCGGAAAATCTCTATATCATATATAAGATTATAGATATAAACATGTGTTTTCTACTATTACTTCATGAATCAATGATAATAAACAATTAAATTAAGTTATATATATTAAAAACTAACAAAAGGTAAGTAGAATAAAATATTGTGTTACAAAAACCTCGCATTACACCATGACGTGCCACAAAGTTGACATGACGTGAGACACAAGTCTTGAGCCATGGGACGCCATGCACGGCGGCTGTTGTGGGGAGCCTTTTAGAATAGTCTTTATATCAAATGAGCCCTAACTAAACCTCCCCCTTAATAGAATTTTGTTTCTGAAATTCCGTCAGCAAACAAGTTCAGGTATTTAGATCTGATTTCCAACTCCAATTCCCAAGTTGTTTATTGACTCTTATGAAATCGTCATTGAAACTTCCCGAGGCTAATTTCTTTGTTCCTCAACCTTTTGATTTCACGACCCACAATGGTTACTAGTTCCTTTTCTTTTACTCTTAATATTTTCTTTAAAATAGAAAAACAAAATAAAGTAGATTTTTTTAACTTTAAAATGCTTTAAAAATTCTATTTTAGTAGCTCTAAAACAAAGGCACCCACAAAAATATATATAAGATAATAAGTAAATATTTTAATTATAGGACAAAATGCACAAAATAGCAATCTACTTTCATAAATTTTTTTATTATAGCATTGTACTTTCAGTTTTTCTTATTACAGCAATGTACTTTCAAACTATTTTTTATTAAGACATTTTATTTTGAAAAATTTACCCATCATAGCATTGGGTAACCTTTTATTTAAATTTACCCATTATACTAGGTTTGCATGCCACCTCATTGTCCACATAGACTGTCCACATGTATTATAGTGATGTGACTTTCTTACTACATCATTGTACTTTCAAAATTATTTTATTATAGCATCTACTAGTTCTTATTAAACATTGTATTTTTAATTTAAATATTTAGATATTTTACATGTTATTTAATAAATGTATTAAAT